TTCACGTTTCCAAAATATATTTTAAAAAGTCACCATATTAGGATTTTTTTTTGTCAAGTAAGATTTATGGCAATATTTGACATCGGTATTTACAAAATCCTGGTTACGGCCCTGCCTAAGGCAGCTCTTTTGTTTTCTGAATTTCATTACTGGATGAACTGATTAATCCAGGTGTGCCTGAACTCGGTAACCATGGCAACACACACCTGGATTAATCAGTTTGCCCTGTAATGAAATTCAGAAAACAAAAGAGCTGCCTTACGCAGGGCCGTAACCAGGATTTTGTAAATACCGATGTCAAATATTGCCATAAATCTTACTTGACAAAAAAAAATCCTAATATGATGACTTTTTAAAATATATTTTGGAAACGTGAATAAAGAGAGTTAAATCACCAGCCCATCGAGGAGGTGAATATGAACGTGTTTATTATAACAATTCCAAAACTCACAAAATTAGAGTATTTGTGTAAGTGAGATTACTATTATTATACTATATTATTGTTTTTGTTATTAATATTGAATTATTATTACAACTATTATTATTGTTACCATAATCACCATGCTTGTGCATAGCCCACTAAATGAATCAAATGACTCGCAATAATATATTGTGGGCTTTATTTTATTTATTTTTAAACAAATGAGAATGCATGCTGATCTTTACACCAATCAAGGTCAGAACAATTTTCATCATATAGTTTGACATTTCTCTGAATTAAAAATAATATATAATAATAATAAAAAAAAAAAAATTAAAAAAGGGGAAAATACCGAGGACATGACCTCAGTGTTCTCAATGCTGGTTACGGGGCTGGCCTTACGTTCCGCAACTACAGTACTGGTGTTGTGCATAGAGCCCGTTATGATATAGATATGTTTAAATGGGGATAATTATAAAAAAAACAAAAAAAAAACAACCTTGAAGGATATTTTAAGGCGTTGTGAGTAGAGCAGCGTATTTTTCTTTTTCTGTCACAAGATTGGTGTTTGAATTTTTTTTGTATCTCAGAACTGTTTTAAATGCAGAAATATTTCCAATATTCCGAACATCCTATTTTTAACTGGCCAGGTCTCTGGGCTGCAGATTGGTAGATGGAGGACGACTCAAGTCGCAGAGTGATGAAGGCACTGATGACTTGGACTTAGACAGATTTATTTTGTATTTTTGTACACACAAATGTAAACAAAAAGAAATTTCATTAAGAACAGACCTCGAGACAATTTCTTTTTTTTAAGTGCAGCCTTGAAAACAGTAAAAAATACATAAAAACAGTACTATAAACATATGACTGTATATTTACAGTTGTAACATTTCAGTTTTTTTTTGTTTTTTTTATAAGAAAGTTAAAAAGAAAAGAGTCGTATATCACAATCTCCTGTATCTCCATCATCACATGCTCTTAAATATTGTGCAGGTCTACTGATGAGCCTGGTGTCCAAAACGCTTACCTTTCATATAGAGGAAAGAAAGGCGAAATATGGAAAGTGTTAAATCTAATAAAACCATTTTTTTCCCATTTTTCTGTGAAAACAGTTTCTTGGCTCTTAGTGTTTATTTTCAATATGATAAATATAAAAAAATATATATATCAATTTAAACTCTACAGCCACATTCCATAAGTTACAATAATATTGAATAGTTTGTTAATTCCTTTAACTTTTCAGTTGTATTAAAAATATTGTGGAGAATTTTCTCGAATTTTTTTAAAAGAGCCGCCCTCTCCACTTTAAAAAAATAATAATTCCTGTGCGAGAGCATGCACAAGCTCAGTTCTCCTCGTGCACGCTCTGTGTAAAAGTTGCTGTTCTCACAGCTCATACAAGCTTACTGTGTCCAAACGTCCTCCCTAACCCCTAAATCCCTCAATCACTATATAAAGCAGGGACTTTATTGTGGAATTTATAGTGAACTAAGTTTACTTACAGTTCAGACAGATGATCACTTCCCCGTTGTTCCATTGCGCGGTGCCTGCGCCATCTTTTTTATTAGTCGCCGCTGTCGGGTAGCAGCAGCCTATGGTGAAAACGGGCCGCTGTGAAAGCAAATCTCATAATGCTTTGCGTGGAGAGATCTCCCACAAAGCATTCTGGGATATATCTGCCTTTCTTTTCTACTTATAAACTTCGTAGAAACTTTTTTTCTCACGACCCTTGACCATTTTCAAAGAACCGCGCTGATACTGTAGCTTACCACATATATACGCCTTAAAGTGTGCATGCGCAGAAAAATACAGCCAACTGTGGACGTGCACATAGGATGGCCTTACGTAAATATATCACCAGAATGATTGACAGTTAGGAGGACCACTCATTTAGATGAACCCCCGGAAATAAAGATATACCTCTACGCCCTTTAAGAAAAAAATTATTAAGTGAAGTCTTTTTTTTTTTTTCTGTTATGTATTCATTTCCTCTTCCAGCTAATAAAGAGCATAACATTTAAGATAAGAATATTACATCAAAACAATATGAGAATTATTTTTAATACAGAAAGAAAATTTGGATTATTGAAAGGTATTTGTGATACCACCTTAAAGGTTATTTTTTAAAAGGTACTTTGAGTCAGACAAAGGAGCCTCATTGGATTTCTAAAACATGACCGTTATCAAATACAAAGACTGAAAATAAATGTTTGAATGATTTAAAAGACAATCTCTCAGAACAGCATTAAGGGTAATATAGCATTTTAAAGATCGTGAAGCTGTATGGAACAGTGTTTGCAGTGGGAAAGCTGGAAAGGTTTGCAGCTGACATTGAGCTAATTTTTCTAGTTTTTGTTGAGAGCTCTGCTCCTGTTTTTTTTTTTTTTTTTTGCACCTCTAATTATAATAACTGATTGATTTAATGTTTAAAAATATTTTATATTACTGCTTCTGATGAGAAAATCCAATTATCATCAACTATAGCACTAGATAATTAAGGACTGTAATGAATCCATATTTTGAAACTGTTTATGAATTTTCCATTTTATATCCTGTCAGTATTTCTTTTATTTTCTTTTGTTTAAAATGTGAAGGAGTAGATATGGTCTCCCTTCTGGAAAGCATCTGATTAAGGCCTATTGCGTAAAATAATTCCCTCAGAAATAAATGAAGTGCAATAAAGTAAATCTACTAAACAAATGTACTAACAGCCTGTTTTTGTTTGTCTAGTATGTGAAATGGAGAAATGATGACACGCTGGGAGGAATTGAAGGATGCATTTCTGCCATCCATGCAGCTGACCCAAACTTTGGTAAATAACTTATTTTATTCATCAGGACTGTTCTAATGACAGATGGTAATTATTTAAGAACTGTGTGCGGCACCATCTGTTCTAAACAAGTTAGAGAAAAAAAAAACTGTTCTGTTCTTCTCTCCTCCTTGCAAAGAATAAAACTCAAGTGTTGCGTTTCATTTGGTTTATTGCTGAAATGAATCTTTTGAAACTCTTAGTCAAACAAAACACATTTGTTATTTTAAGTTTTAAAACAGAGCTTTCAGGGTGAACAGAGGTTTTTTAAGGATTAAATTGAGATTCCTTCATAACATGAAAAATAAACAAAAAAACATGTCCTCCTATTGGATCTTAAGTGGCTCTACAAGCTACTGAATCACTTGTTTTACTTGGTGTATGTTATCTTAATTCCATGATTTGGTAAGGTACTTTAGTATTGGTTGCCTTGGAAACACCTTGATATTAAAACACGCAGAGGAGATGCAAAGCAGCTAAGCTGCACCAGGCTGAAAATTAAATTCTGTTGATTTGTTTATGACTCTTGCTTTTATAACAGCATTAAGCACAGTTACTGGAAAGATATTAAGCAATATTAAAGCTCACATTGCTACGCATGAGAGCAGACTTTATAGGGATACACGCTGTTTTTGACCTTTTTCTCACCTTTCATATAACTTCATCTGCTGTTTACTATCAGAGGCAGAAGTTAAAATTGAAAAGGTCGCCTTTCTTCCAGTAAAAAGCTCCTCTGGCTCTGAAAATAAATAACAGAACCTTTAGAAGTGCACATGATTTTTCATGTGGACTGCTGTGTTGCAGAGGGGAAATTCAAAAAGAATAATTTATTTATTCCTGCAACAGTTATGGGTCATGTGATCAGTACCGGGCTGGAGCTGGTGGGCACGACGAGCAGCCCCCGGGTGGACGAGCGTCTGGCCAGTGCTGTGACGCGAACACTGGAGCTCGCCAACAGCAAGGACATCACTCCCCGAGAGAAACTCCATGTCAAAGCTGTGGAGCTCTTCTCCCATGGGTAAGGTCCAGCAACACTGATCTAGGAAGTGAGACCATAAAAGAGCTTTCTATTGGGGGTGTACAATTGAGAGGGTCCATAAAAATGGCAGGTATGTTACACATAATTGATGTTGTGAATGAATACAGAAGGGTAATGGTTTTAAAAACATATCCAAGAATAATACACTCACAACAGATTCTTGACTAGGAGGAAGTAGGTTGGTCAGTTTTATTTGATGTTGGAATATGGAAATATAGTTTTTATTTCAGGTTTTATTATTGAAAAAGTTTCAGTTGCTTCTGCCTTTGATTTAATAACAAAAAATAGAGCAGCAGGGCCTGTATTTATAAGGATTCCCATAGGCTCAATCCTAAACTGGCCCAAAAACAGGGTCCCCGAAATTAAGTCCAAGTGGTGGGTAGGACGACAGGACCGTTCAGCCCTTAAATAGGGAGTTTGCATCAGTGCAGGCTTGCTGGAAATTTGCAGCAAGTGTAACAGCTAGTGGTGGAGGAAAGGAGTTTCTCCAAATGTAAACTGGTTTGCTGCATCTTCATCACACTGACAGAAAATCACAGATTAGTTATATGAAAAAACGTAATCAGTCCCAAAAGGGAAGCTCCTTTTTAAAATAGTTTATTTCACCGTATACATTTGTTTTAAGAAAGGTGCAAATGTTGGGCGTCACTGTTGCCGTAACAACGACTGCTTTCCCTCTCCGTTGGAGGAAAGAAGCCATCCCATTCTCATTTACACCCCCCACCTTCAATTTAGGTGCCCTCAACAGCTCTCAGTGGGACGCCTGACCTGCACTTTTAGTGTACACAATCGCATGACAGAATCTCACCAAAAAACAATTGAATTGTAGAGAATCTAAGCTTTCCAACAATGTCTAACGTGTCTATATTGGTAAACATTTTCAAGTGTAATTTTCATGCATTCTGAGTTATCATTTGTAAATGCTTTAAAACAGGTTTAAAAAGTAATCCAGGAGTTCTCTTTACTCATCGCTTCTGATCGACTTTGAACTTTTGAAATTGAGACGGAAAATATGCCCGCTTTGTGTTGCAATTTTCTTTTATTGCGACATTTTATCACAATATAATATAAAATACAACCGTATCAATATGCTTTCTTTTCGTTTTCTGCCTCACTGAGCCTCAACAAAGTCCTCACTACTCCTGGTCTTACTTCACCTTAGGGGCCCAGGCTGCTTTGATGATGTTTGTTAATTAAACTGCTAGATAATATTGCATTTAAATATTTTCTTTCAGATACTATTACTAAAAGTTACTTTTAGTCAATACAGGCGCCACGTCTTAATCACAGCAGTTTATGTTCTAACACATGTCTTTATTTTCTCAGCTGCAACGTTGCCCTTACCTGATATTCTAATGTTCCGATCCTCTGTGAAAGAGGATTAAAGTTTTTAACTGTTTTCAATAATGATTTTTGAATTGGGGAAAAAAAATTTAAATTTCTATTAATCTTCTACCTAAGTGTTATTGTAAGCATTATGAGCTCTGGATTATGGAAATAATCCATAAGACGTTTTTTTTTGTTTCCAGCATTTTTTAATTGTCATTACACTGTCACAAGTACAGAGCAACGAAATTAACTCTGCGTTTAACCCATCCCCAAGGGAAACACCCCTAGTGTGGGGGTTAAGGCTTGCTCAGGGACCCAGAGTGGCAGTCCATGGGAACCCAGGATTCCAAGCGCAATGCCCTAACCACTAGGCTGCCACTGCCCAAAGCAGGCATTAGCGTGAAGGATCTTCCCCTTAGGAACTAAGCTCATTCCTCCCAGCTGGGATACGGATCCAGGCTTCCTGTTTGCAGGATGGGTGACTTACCACTTGAGCTAGCCAGCTAATAAGTAAAAAAAGTATTTGGATGATAAAATTGTGTATGTGTTAAGGCTAGTGATTAATCTACATTTTTTATTCAATCCAGACATGTGGTCTCAATGGAAACCGCTGAGGTTTATTAATAAAATACGAAAACCAGGAACTCATGAATGTTTTCATGTTTTCTTTTTTTTAAAGAAAATTATTAATTTTGATGTTGTTTGGTGCTGAATGTTTTCATTAAAACCTTTTTTCTTTTATTTTTTACATTTTTAAGACATATTTAAGGCATCCGCTGCATTATTTTTCCTTGCAAATCACAGTAGAGGTTTCCAGTAGTCTGTTAAAGTCCCCATTAGATGCAGGATTTGTGTTCATTGTGCCACACGAACCGAATCGCCTGTGAGCATTTCAGAAATAGCTTATGAGGAAATAGTTTAGCATTCATGAAGCTTCTGTTTCCGTCTGCATGTGATTCAGTCATATGCTCCGGATTAACAGAACCCAGAATTCATGAGAGATTTCTTGTAATTTGAGCTTCTGTCCAACATCCAGACTTTCTTATTTTATCTTCATTTCCTTTTCTTTCTCTGTGGTATAAAGTGAGTTCTCGTAATGTTTAACCGCTTTTTGTTTTTTGTTAAGCTCCACCTGGGAGACGTTCTTTGCTATCCCACAGTTATCCTCTGGCTGAACAGTTCTCATCTTTCAGAGCTCTATTTTTTAATAGTGAGCCTATTTCTTCTAGGAATTATCCCAAAGCCTGTGAGGTATGGGAAGATATCCTGCTGGATCATCCCACTGACATGCTGGCTCTTAAATTTGCCCATGATGCCTACTTCTACATGGGGGCCCAGTTGCAGATGAGGGACTCTGTGGCCCGAGTGCTGCCCCACTGGAAGCCTCACATGCCTTTGTTCAGGTACCAGTTGCAGCACACAGAAGGTCTACCGGAGGTTCTATGATACAGTTCAAGTGGGATAATATTCCACTTTAAATTTTCCAGTGACGAATAAAAATACATTTCCATTCCTTTAATTTTGATGTTTGTTTTTTATAAAGTTCTGGTCCAATTAAATGTGAGCCCTCCGGTATTTTTTCTTAACAAAAAGCATGATGCAGAATATTATTTATATTTCTAGAGAGGGAGGGAGGTTGGACAGTAATAGTGCAGAAACCTTACCTGTTATGGCAGATTGTCTGCCTAACTTGCCATATGTTTAGCTTCGCTCTCATGGTTGTTTTTAAGCAGGATTTATTTTCAACACACATCTATCCAACTCAAATAGCAGTTTTCTTGTCTTTTTAAAACAAAGAGTGAAGGACAACTATCTGAAAATAGGATGAATAAATTGAATTGCATTTTTTTTGTGCCCATAATTTTCACAGAGATTTTAAAATCATAACTGAATTAGTTAATGTGTGAAATTCTTGTTGACACATTGCAATTTTGTAAATTATTATTTAAAGCGGGGTCATCATAATCATGAACATACAGTTAGCTTATTTGATCTGAGTATCTGTATTTCAAGCCTACTCTTTCTTGTTAATGATTAAAATCAAATTCTATTTAATATTTTCTGTAGTAAGTCTGTTTTTTTTTTTTTTTTGTTTGTCTACAGCTACCTGAAAGGACAATACTCCTTCGGCCTCCTTGAGACTCGTTTCTATGACCAGGCTTTGAAAGTGGCCATGGAGGTGAAGATTAGATTTTCTCTTTTACGCTCCGCTGATAAAGCAACAGTGCATTTGAGGCTGTGTGCCTGTGTTGATTGTCAGTCCACCATGTAACAAGAACTACCCTTCTACACCAAATGCCTCATGCATATAAAGCAGCAGTGACATGAGTGTCTGTTGGGGAAAGAGATTTGAAGGACATGAAAATAAGATTTTCTTTTCAGATATATCTGCTTCTTCTAAATGCCTCTTTCTTGTTCCATCTTCCTGTGCAGGGCCTCGCCTTGACCCCTGATGATGCTTGGTCTGTCCACTCTGTGGCCCACGTTTATGAGATGACAGCAGAGGTGGAAAAAGGCCTGAATTTCATGGAGAGCAGAGAGAAAGACTGGCAGGTGGTGTTTTCAATCACACTGAAGCAGTGTGCTTTTCTACTGGAACCTTGCTGAAGTTCAGACAGGTCTGAGGTTATATTTAAAAAGAAGCTTGTAAACTATGAGTATTAATTCATTTTTCAGAGATCTGACATGCTGGCCAGTCACAATTATTGGCACTGGGCTTTGAACTTCATTGAGAAGGTAAGGACAATGATGGTTCTAATTTGGAGGGTTTGCTATGAAATTGACTGAAGTGTCTTAAATGAGCCTTAGTTTTGTGACTTCATCCTTTTTTAGGAGCAATACGAAGCTGCTCTGCAGATTTACGACTCCCAGGTGGGTTTGTGTTGACTGGTGCAGGTTATGGACGCTGTGATAACTGGAGGTTTTAAGGTTTTAGTTAGAGCTGTTGGTTTCTGCTAACACAACAGTCAAGTGCAGTCATTTTACCTCTGATGGAGACTGATGGGACAATCACACAGCATTACCACAGGTATGGAAGCTTCACAGTAGGGACACTCTGCACCAAAAACAGTAACACTAAATATTACACTTTGGAGAACAGTGGGTCACCCTGTATTTCTTAAAGCATGTCATAATTTAGATAATCATAGCATTTTTATCTCTTAAGTTTGAAAAAAATAAAAAATAAACTTTTTACAGGAAAAAGTAGATTTTTCCAAAAAAATAAAAAAATAAATAAAAACTCACTTAAGGGTTGATTTTTATCATATTTTGAAGAAGGGTTTCCTAATATGAACCTTTAAGGTGGTTCTGATACATCTGGGTGACGCCATTTTTCAGTTTTTATCAGTGGTTATTTCTGCTGTACGGTCTGTCCAGCATTTAATTGAGAAACTAAAGCTGTATAGGAAACTGTCTTGGAACCGCTTCACTGTATTTTAACAGTCTACATGTGACTGGACTTGACAGGACTTTGGAACCAGCTATAGACTGGATGCTCATCCTGTTGGATTGAATGAGGTTGATTTTTAAAGGGGAACACCGTTTTTTTTTTGTTTTTTGTTTTTTTTAATGAATTCTACGTTCATGTTTATCATGTTCTACTCACCCATATTAGTTTTGTGTCATTTGGAGCTGTTCTGAAGGTTTTCGGTTAGGTTATATCTAAGTAACGTTTCCTTTGGGTAACGAGTTGAAGGCACAAACTAAACTGTTCATAATTTATTCTTTATGGTACGCCAGCATTCATAACATGTAGGCAAATCACTGTCCCCCAGACATCCGGGGTTGTATTTTTTATATTTATATCTATTAAAAACGCCGGACTGGAGTTGTGACAGGCAGCCCGGGCCACAGGCGGCTATGCTCTAACCCTTCTATTCGTTCGGCTAGCTAATCTGAATCGTTCAATTCCATTTCCTGAGCGAGATCATCTGTGGTAGGAGCACCAGACATCTTCCAGGCATGTGAGTAAAACTAGCAGCAGTTCAGCGGACAGGAAGAATGAACGGTAGCTGGCACGCGCGGGTGACGTCATACACACTCCGCTTTGTTTTTAAAAAATAGAAATATAAAAAATATAACCACGGATTTCTGGGGACAGTGATTGGCCTACATGTTATGAATGCTGGCGTACCATAAAGAATAAATTATGAACAGGTTAGTTTGTGCCTTCAACTCATTGCCCATAGGAAGACGTTACTTGAATTACAAAACCGAATATCTTCGAAACAGCTCCAAATGACAAAAGACTAATATGGGTGAGTAGAACATGATGTAATAACGTAAAATCAAGGGGCCAATGTAAAAAAAAAAAAAGCAGCAGTATCTCTGGCAGCCAACTAGACCCTTAGCATAATGCACCCATCACCTTGCTCTACATCTGGTGATATCCCAGTCTTTTACTAGGGTAACTGTACATCCTTTTCCCAGATTTCATTCAGATTCTCCAAGCTAGTTGGGACTAGATTGGTGAGGTTAGCTTGTTATAACATGGATGCAATAAGGTCTTCAATCTACGCACAGAAAACTAGTATAACTGATAACATGATGCTTCTAGAAAGGCCTTCCTAACGCCCTAACCTCAATCCTGCTGAAAATGAAACTTTGTTTATAGTCAGGTCTGTGCTTTGGAACCGTCCAAATTAGATAAGCCTTAATTTTTCTGATGAGCAATTCTGGTTTCCCTTGTGAGTCAAGGTTAGATAATTGCAAATAAATCCTGAATCCAAGTTTAAGATGTGCGTGCCAAAGAACCACCCCCACATGTTGGTTTGTGCTTTCAAGTCCTATTTAGATGAAGAAGATGGAAGGAAACAAAGCTGGATTTCTGAATCTTTGCAAAAACATTTTATCAGGTCATTTTCCTCCGCTGTGTTAAAAATCATTATTTTAAACTTATCGACCATAAAAGCTTGTTTTTCTTCAACATTTTTAGACATGAATATTTCATTTTGATTTCAGCAATACTAAATATTTCAAGTAGAGAGATATTAATAACTAAAAGTGAGGTCATCTTTCTGTAAAATACACAGACCCCACCCACTAGGTCTGGCTGTTTAAGTAAGTTCACCCTGGGAAAAGTCTGCAAAATGCAATTTTAAAAATAAAATAGAATTTTCCAGCTTTCTTTGATGTAGGGGATCGATAACTGTTTAAGAAGTTTTTTATTTATGATGTTTACTGTAAACCAAATCCGGTCAGACTAGCTGATGGAGGGTAGGCTCTTAACTATTTCCTTTTTTAGATACATTTATCTTTAGACTTGTAGTTCAGCAATGGAAGCAGAATTTACATTGATTCGGGGAAAAATAAAAGAAAGCAAATTTAATGTTGTTACATTTTTTTAATCAGTTGGATTTTTGATGTTTAAACATGGTCTAAAATAAGATTTGTTCTGTGGAAACTATGTTTATTTAACTGGGAAAATTCCTGTCCATCATTGCTCCTAAGTAAATGGTGATATGCTTTCTCTAAGGTATTCAATCGCTGTAAAGCCTCAGGCGCCATGCTGGATATTGTTGATGCTTGTTCAATGCTCTACAGACTGGAGATGGAAGGTCAGTGTGATTTTATATAAAAGGACCCTGAGAATTTTTTCTTCTACTGTTAGATATTCTCTAAAGCTGTTGTGAAGAATAAAATGCAATATGTAATTGTAATTTTTGTAATTTAATATCTTATTGAGTAACTCTAACACCTAATTTAACACGAGAATTTTGTCTAAAAGCAAAAAGCTTTAGTAAGACACCTTTTTTATTAATATTTTAATATATGGTATTGTGGCAGAGTTAAGGATAATAAGGCTTTGTCTGACCACCTCAGTGTTTGTTGCAGGTGTGTGTGTGAAGGACCGCTGGCGGGAGCTGCTCCAGATAACCCAGCCTCACACTGACGATCATGTCACATTGTTCAATGACCTCCATTTCCTCATGGTGTCACTGGGAGCCAATGAGACCAAGGCCAGTCAGCGCCTGCTGGAGGGCCTCCAGGATTTGGCCAAGTTAGTTCTGTGCCATTTCTCTTCACTGCACACCTCACCACTGTGCCAGCCTTCCATAAAAGTAACTCAACCCCCATATATTAAACAGACTTAAACACAGATTAGTGTATGATGCAAGACCGAGCATAAATGCAGTTATGAATAGGACCACAGTAATGGCCTCCCCCTTAAGCAGATGTTGTACCAGGAGGCCACGTCTCTAAAGAAGTTTGTCCACATGGCTTAAACATTTTCTTTAGCTTATGCCATAGCAAATGGCACATCTTGGTAACCTTGAGGTTTTTCTTTCGAAATTCTTTAGGCTGTTATGTTGTTTGCTTTTCAGCCATAATGCGTTGCTGTGAAACGGTATGTAACCTTTATAGATTTCAAACATTTAATTGCTTTATGACGCACTTAAATGCTTCAGATCATCAACATATTTCTTCTTGCCTTAATAACATTTTACCAACAATAAATTAGTCAGAAAATGGGCAGAGGGATAAAGTGGAGATTAAAAAAAGAGAAAGCAACGATCAGCAGCCTGTATATTTGAGACACCATGTCTAAGGCTGAATCCAAATCCATATAATCTGAGCCTCTAGCTGCTGCCCCATCCTCACTACAGCACTATGGCTCTGTAGCACCAGATAGAAAGATTATAAGGAACTAAGATTGTAAGCATGCACACTCCTGTTTCCTACCTCCTTCCTTATTGCAGCATTTTTTTTGGACAGTACTTTACAAGGCAAATGCTGATGCGCTTTACCTTTGCTGAAAGAGTCCTTAAGGAGTAGCTGTTAAAAGATTGAGCCTTTTTTTTTTTTATTTTGTTTATTGTTGACCTCAACTGAGGCAGCTTGGCCTGTTCCCCCGGCTCAAGCTGTTAATATACTGGACATGACATTTATATTTTTGTAAATGTCCACTTTACTTGAGGTAAGGAGACATTAACTCAATTTAAATGGTCTCATGACAGCAAAAGTTAAGAGCAATCACATATGACTGTGTAATTTAATGTAAACATATACATAGAAATAACTTTTTAGAGGTTTATAATTAGATCTGTCATGACATATTTATGATGGGTTATGAGTTTTGGGTATATGTAAAGTTGTCACAACAAAGACATTTTAAACAATGTCAACTTTGCATTTATAGTGTCATAATTTATCGAATGACAATTAATGACAAAAGTCCTAAACAGATAAAGTGTCATTTATGTCAGGTGTTAGGTGTTATGTCATGTTTTTGACAGTGTAATGGCAGTCTTATGTACATCCCTTCAAATAAAGTGTTACAGAAATCTGTTTGGGGTAAATTCATTATTGCAGTTATAAATATATATATATATATTTATTCCAACCTTCCAGGAAGATTCCATTTCATCTATTATGCAACTTTATCTGTAATGATTAGACGGTTTGCACTTTTTGGGTTTAATGCGTTAGACCCAAAATGAAGTTAAACATTTCCCTTTTATAGAGCAATGAAAAAATGTCTTACTATTCATTTTAGTCAGTAAAAGCACAAAAAACCCCACTTTGGTTTGTTTAATATTTCGGAATTAATACATTAAAGGCACTTTGTTGAAATTACCATTTCTATTCACAGGGAACCAGGCGACAATCAGCAACATCAGCTGGCTAAAAACATAGGCATACCAATGTGTAAAGCTATGATGGAGTACAACCAGGGCAACTACGGCCAAGCTGTAGCGCTTTTGTACCCTCTGCGTTACCAGATGTTGGGGATTGGTGGCAGTGATGCTCAGGTAAGATGCTCAGACTTGGATAGGTTTAAAACAAGCATGAAAAGCTCCTTGCTTGATTCAACATGCCGTTTTATCAAAGAAATACGCAATGGTGCAAAAGTTTGCCTCAGAAATGCGTTCTTAGGTCTATAACCCTGCTTCATAGGGTGGCGTGAGAATAGAAAGCCTACTGCACCATCATATGAATAATAAAACTTACTGATGGGTGCTAATGGACTTGATGCATTGGGTGTTTCATGTGCAGACAAGAGTTATCTAAGGTCCTATACTGTAGTGACAATATAGGAGGGGAAGAAGAGTGGATGCACTTTACATAGTATAGTGAGAAGTTTGCATTTACTAATGGTTTGTCCACTGCTTCTTACAGAGAGATTTGTTCAATCAGCTGCTCATTCATGCAGCCATGAAGTCCGAGAATAAGCAGCACCAAAAACTGGGAAGGTAATGTACAACTGCACAGCTATTTATTACAGCTATTTATATTACATATTTATTGCATTTAAATGTGATTCATAATAATTCATAAAAAATTGGCCAGTTTAGAGCCTTCTAATTATATACCAAACCACCTTAAGGCACATTTCAACCACAAACCTTAATGTAGTTTTTGACACAGTCTACATGCTGACCAAAGGCCGGAGGGCCAGAGCTGAGGGTCCATCCATTACTCCAAGACTTGGAGCTTTAACTACAAGATGGTTCTACAAAGTTTTAACCTAAATGGGTACAAGTCATATTGTGAAAAGCATGTTTTACTTTTTTCTTTGTTTGTTCCTGTTGCTCTGTTCACTGTCATAGGCTGTCAAAAACTCTCAACAAAAAAAGTTGAGGTGCAGCAAAGGAATGTGGTAAAGGTCAAAGCGTATGAATATTTTTGATAGAACTCGCACCACCAACTCATCTAAAGGATTTATTTAAGATTTCTCTCCTAAACTGACAAGCTTCTCCAGATTTCCTCCTATCAGTGACAAGTTTTCACTGTTTTTTAGATCTGTGCTTCCAGGATAGGAATTGATCCAGACATGCATAATAACACCTGTTAACATTTAATATCAACATGAACCCTTACTGATCTGGTCACATCCCGTTACAGCAGGATTTTGTTTCCTCTCATCAGTTATTGGCTCTCATTACAAATTAAAGTATACATTTAGCTGGAGTCTTCTCTATACTGTTATATGTGATCAATCTCCAGTATAATTTTGAGTGAGGCCTGTATGAACATCAGTATTTTAATGTGTTGGCCAGGAGAGATGTTTGCAGCACATATCAGCCTAAATTTAAGTTTCTGTGTGTAATCGAATGCTAGAAATCAGATTGTAGGAATTATGATCCAAGACCAGGGGCTGTAATGTGCAGGGCACTCCATAGTATGGGGAGCTCAGTCAGAGATTAGGAGTAGAGCTGTTCTCCTTCGCACTGAGAGGATCAGTTGAGGTAGGTTGGACATTTTTTTCTGATGCCTTCTGGGTACCCCCCCGCTTGAGGATTTTTATGTCCAGCTTAGAGGAGGCCCAGATGCTGACCCAGCACAAGCTGTGAGACCATGTCTCTCTGCTGGCCTGAGACGTCCCCCTCTGGAGCTTGAGAGTTGTCTGGGGAGAGATAAGCATTGGAGTCTCTGCTGAGACTGCTGCCCCTGTGACCCGGTCCTGGAAAAGCTAAAGACAACAAGTACGAAGAATAGTGCTAAACTAATAGAGTTCAGGAATGTCAGGAAGGATTCTCCTGATCTGCATTGTCCAGAGCTTTGCAAAACATTTCTATAAGATTAGGGATATTTTTAGCATTATATTGGCCGATAATGATCATCTTTATTTGTTCTTGCAATAGTGCATTCCAATGAAATCTGTTTTCTGTGTGTAACTGATCCAGTAGGAAGCAGTGAGCAACTTGCAGGGGTGGGGAGGGGCAAGTTACTTGGAGACAAAAAGTGGAAGACTAGCTACAACCCAGTGATGTTTTGGCCTCTCCAGGACACAAACACTCTGCTCTCTAACTACTCACCAGCTACTTAAGAAGAACTGCTCCTTTTTTCTTTTTCCCAAACTAATTTCTTGACGGTTTTCTCTCCTATTAGCTTTCTCGTATAAATGACCCTGATGAAGGCCAAGAAAAAAAACATGATCTGATAATAGAGTTGTTTCTTTGTACTTTAGTTTTGTTCCTTTCTGAAGTCTTCATCTCTTTGACCCTTTCCATGTATTTATGGGAGATTTTTATGCCTGTAGACTTGATGACAGTACAGAGATATTTATACCTTGTTTTCTGGTCACTCTCAGCAGAGGAACAGTTGGGTGTTGATAAGTTTGGCAACTAGAAACAATCTTTTTAAACCGTGCCCCTTTTTATTTCTATTTTTTGTGGGCTCAGAGATTCGACAATATTAATTAGAAACTGGCTCAGTTTGCAGCCAAATGCCAAGTGGCGAAGAGGATTCGGCTTTCTGGAGTCATGGGTCTCACCAAGAAGGTGAACTCAGGAAGAGTAACTGAAGACGACGCTTCGTCTGCTGTAGCAATAGACAGATAAATGGCCGCCGATTGATTAGAGATTTACGTAACCACATATTCCTGCTCCTTCCATTTGCTATCAGTAATGTTATGTTTGATTTGTTAATAATCTTTCTTGTTTAAACTTCCACTTTTTAACATTTCTTGTCACTGTGTCAGTTTATCAGTAAATGGTGGAAAAAAAGTCATATTTGCTTCCAAGAATCTCAAGAATTGCCAAAAAATTAGCAATCGTTTGAATCCCAGACTTTCTTCCGTTTACTGTCAAAATATTCAGGATAGGCAGTAAAAAAAAAAACCTGTATCAGTTATTCCCTGGTCTGGGGTAATGTTGCTCTGCTCTGTTTAATACAGAACCAAGCTCTAGACTTGGAGGCAGGGGAGTGTCTGCGTTTCCCCTGTGGACCTGCTAGCCCTTGATCCAATCAGATGGAAAATTATCCTCGGCTCATTTGCATATTTTTGATTAAAATAATAAAAAAAGAATGCCTTTGTCTTTTTTTAAAAATTTGCTCAATTCCTTAAATTCTGCTGCAACTCTCTGAGCCCAAAACTAAAAATAAGTTATGTAGGAGGTTCAGTGGTGTCAAATCTACACACATTTGTTACTTACCGTAAGTAGAAGTATAGATACTGCAGTTTAAAAACATTCTGGTAAAATTCAACTTCACCTCTTTTCTCAAGTAAAAGAGAAAAAGTATGTGCTCCAAAAACTACTTAAAGTATAAAAGTATAAAGCAACATTTAAAAGAAAAAAACAGCCAGATGCCACTATATGAATTGAAAGCTTCATTTTTCGACTATTTCGAAAAATTCTTTGAGATCGGGCCAAGGATGAGGGAGGTCTTGTTGGTCTCCGTCTCCTGATACGCTCTCGCCTGTGTCTGACCTTTAAAACATTTCAACATCTTTTTCTGAATCCGACATTGTAGCATGCTATAGACAATTCACGTTTACAGTTTGAAGAACACCAGCTTGCTTCTGATGATTTCCTTTAGCTAACCAATGAGTGTTTGCGTTATATGACTCATCCAATTACACTAGTTTTCACTAGATTGGATGGAGCCAATGACCTGCATTGGATGGCGCACATGACGTGAAATAGATATTTATAAACATTAAACCGAAGCCAAAAATAATGAGTAATGTTTGTATTAAAAATGTAAGGAATAGAAAGTACAGATACTTGTGTGAAATTGTAATGATTAGAAGTCAGAAGTAGGAACAAAAATAAGTAATGGAGTAAAGTATAGATACCTAAAAAGTGTACTTAAGTACAGTAACGAAGTATTTGGACTTCGTTACTTGACACCTCTGAGGAGGTTACATCTATAAATGGAAAACTAATCTTTGTTGGCACTTCACTGCTTTGCACCAGAATTAATTTTTGCATCTTGATTCTTTTCCAGCAGTATTTGGACCATTTCAATGTAATTTTTAGGGAAACATGATCAGAACTGTGTTTATCTGTGGAACTCCACCATCTGTGTTGTCACCATTTGGAAAACCTGTCAAAACGAAGCTTCTGCTCTGACGTCTACTGGATGAAATGCATCTGAACTACTCTAGGGTCACTGTTTAGACTACTGCTCACCTCTGTTTTCTCTCACATCTGTGTGTGCAGAGCACAGGCTCTTGATTCTTCCATTCTATTACTGACACCATCTGCACACTGTGTTACTCTTTCATTATTGATCAAGTTGTTCTCGCAGCTTGAAGTCTCCCTGAATCTTTGTTCATCTCTTCGTTCCCTCCTGCTGTATTTCCCCAGATGTCTGTTGGTGGAGCGTGATGCCGTGAGGCCCAACTCCCCTCTGACCCATCGTCTGATGCAGAAAGCTCTGGCTCTTCATGACTAGAGTGATTGCATCGAGCGCAGGCGGGTCCCCCATGAAAACATCAAAGCATCACTCTAATCAGATCTACTGTTTGGGTTTAGGAGACGTCAAACCCACAGGAAGGAGCTGGACACCGTTAACAAGATAGTCACAATTCTTTCATGGATCATCTTTACATTCCTTGGCTTGGAGCATAATTGTGTGTTACATGTGAAATTATGAAGATAAAGTGAAAATTCATTAAAATAGATTATGCACATTTATTTGCAAATTTGTAATTTTTATTATAAATGGTACCATTAAAAAGAAAAAAAAAACAAGCACTATATACATTTGTTGTGCCTTTTGTGTCACAGGAAAGTGCATCTTATTAATTTTGTCAAAGAGAGTGGCATGTCAGGAAAAGGATATGTAGGTGAGATGTGTTTGCCCTCATGGGAAAATTTGAGCACCACAAACGTCCTTCTACATCTGCCCTCAAAATGCTGAGGTAATCTCCTTTTGGATCTGAGAGATCAGGATCTGGGACAGCACAATGCCTGCAATCTAGAAAACATCAGCAGCCACTTTAGAGTACAGAACATGCTCTCCCACAGCCAGCAACGAGCATCTCAAGGTCCCTTTGGAGGGATGCTGCAGTTCTCTGTTAGGCGCTGCCAGGAAAACATCTCATAAATGAAATGATGAATTGTCCTTTGCAAATATCTTAACAGTCGTTGAATATTTTTATGCATTGTCATGAATAGGGTGTAATAAAAAAAAGAGTAGTGTGAATGTGTACTCAGTTCCCTTATCAACCGCACTAAATAAGACGTTACCTGTGTGTGTGATTTAAGAGATTAGATGGTCTGTTTTTTGTTTTAAATAAAAAATGACAAAAAAAAAGGAACACAGCAGGAAGAAACCAGGGTGTAAGTAGGAGAAGCAACCAAAAAGTCTGGGGGATCTGGAGGAGCTGTCAGGACCCACAGCTCAGGTGAAGAATGTGATGGTAAAACAAGTGGTTATTTCCAACATAGATTAGGCCTTTAAGCAACATAGACTTCAGATATTTGGCTCTGAAGGAGGTCTCTCAGACTAAAAACAATGTAAAAATGTGCCAGAAGCAGATCACCTTATATATGAGTTATAAGTGTATATGTTATATTTTTGTGTGGTTTGTTGTGTATATATATATATATATATATATATATATATATATACATGTATCTGGAGTGTGTAACAAAAGTAATTTCCCTCTGGGATTATTAAAGTATTTCTGATTCTGATTTATCTTGAAGAAAAAGGCAGCATTATGCTGTGGGGATTCTGTACGGCCGCTCCTAACATTCAGTCAGAGCCACAGATATTCATGATTATACATATTGATGCATGATTATACAGAGAATGACTCAATTTAAATTTAGACCAGTAAACAATTTATGAATCTGTGGCTCAACTTAAACACTGTTATGCAAAAAACTGCATTTAAGTGTTCCTTTTGGCAAACACTGTCATTTTTCCCCCCATAAATTCTAAGGCGTATAAATACTTTTGCAAGGCCCTTTATACTGATGCACCCATCAGACGTTTTACTTTATAATTAAAACAAGCCAACAAATAATTGCCGTTAAAGTGACCGATCTAATCAGTGTCTGCTGAACATCGTCGCCAAAAAGGCATCATCACAATCAAATTCCCAAAACATCAAAGCAATGACTGCACTAATGTGGTCGGTCTGACGGGATTTCTGGGAAACGCAGTCAATGAATGCAGTGAGAGGATGCTGTGCGATTATTTTATCTCATGTGTGCAGCTCCTGATAACAGCTTATATTATGTTATTCTGACTTTAGATATTAAAAGGACTAATTGCTGTGGGAGTGTGAACGTGCTGTGCAGCTGAGTGGGAGTTGTCAGCATCTTCCCTGTTTCAGTAGATACTGTTACAGCTTAATACTCCTTTACTTGGTTTACAGGCTAAAAATGCACTTTTAAACACCTTGGAATGGATATCTTGCAGTTGGAGTTAATTGTTGCATTGTGCCACCTTATTACTGCACATAAGTCGGTGTTTTAAATAAAGTCGTTGGAAGGGCTGACATTCACTGAGCATTTATTATTACATTGGCTTTTCTTTTTCTACGGTGTGGTAATAATGCTCTGAAAAGGCACTTTGCAGAAAGTTCTTGGGAAGAAAACAATACATTTATATTGAAGAAGTCTACTTTAGAATTGATGCAGAGCACTGGTCGATGAAGTGTTTCTAGAACTACTTGAACGCAGCAAGAAGCACTGCCTTAAAGGTGGAAGGTCCGCTCAATAGGTTGATTACTGGATGTTCTACCCAGCACGCCTCCATTGATGCCTTCATTGACCTGTAGCTTATTTAGAAGAAAAAGCCTTCTTTTGTATCTGATTTCTGAGGTCTGGGGTAAAAGACTGCAGTTTAATCATGCATAACATGAAATGTCCTTGAGTGTGAGGTGGGTTACCTGAGGTAAGGCCAGACCAAGGGCCAGGGCTCCTACCATCAGCAGATGGGACTCAATCCACATCACTGCCCTGTCTGCACAGCCTACTGGATAGATTGCCTTGTCTGCATCCAGATACGTTTGGGCTTGAACTCCAAAACCACACATGGTGTTGATCACCGTCTGGATAGAAGGAAAAAAAAAACAGAAAGTGGCCTTGAATACAACATAAGCCTCATGCAAGATTAAACTGCACTGGGCTGTTGTCTTACAGCTCCTGGAAAAACTAAATGTTATCATTGTGACACCTCAGGCGGAGGCACAGAAGGCTAATGAGCCATAAAAAACAAAGCAGTCCAGGCGTACATAGTGAAGCACCAATGACTTGAAGCTCTCGAACCGGCCTGCAGATAAAGTGAATTTTCCGTTTGCCACCAGCAGGTTGCAGCACTGCATCGACTGTGAGGCTGTTTAATTAATTGATTTTTTTTTCTACCATGTTGGAAAAGGTTGCTGTGATCCGTTTTCTGTGCAGCCTGATGTTTAATCAATAATGCTGTGATGGCTCAACATGAGCTCCTTAGTTTTCCTTCAGTCTTAGTTCTCACATTGTGCTGCTTGGTCTGCAATATAACTAGAAAGAGTTCCCACCAAATAAGCATTTATAGACAAAAGAGTTTCCTTTTTTAATGTAGACCCAATAAAAGCTGGCATGCTCTGTCATTCATGTACCTCGTACATATGTATGTGGACAGCCTTCTTTGATGCTCCGAGTACTGAATATCATTAAAACTCAGTGAAATCACTGCCAGCTTTGCTGTAGATTGCTGATGAATTCACCTCTTGCAGATCAAACTATGAGGACATGATGCATATGTTCAGACTAGTTGGATACCATCATTTTGTAACAGATATAATAGAAAATATGTGCAAAAATCTTATTAAGCCAAAGTTTTCTCAACGAGCCACAGCTCTGTTGGACTTTAGAGACAATGTCAAGCAAGAGTGGCAAAATATTTAGTTGTGTTCTTCAAAGAAGTGGTGATGCAACCTGGGGGTAAACTTGAGTCTATCGCTTTTTTAAAAATGGGAAAACTGAGATGTAGCGATACAACATATCTTTGATTTAGCATCTGACATCTTGCCTTTGATATTCTTTTTTTTATCAAACAAAAACCATTTTTTTCTCCGTTTCACTTATTTTCATCTTTTCTGATGGAACCAGGTTTTTCATCCTGAGGCCGGTCCTGTGTGACAGCCACATCACCCTTTATCTGATCTAGACATGCAGCTGCTGCCTTCAGGCAAAAAGAAACAGTTCTAGTTTTGAGAGACTAGAGGAAATCTCATATTTCAATATGATACAGTTTGTGTTGTGGTCAATCAACTCTGGCTGTTTGTTTTGCATCTGCAGCCCAACGGCTGTATGGCACATTGCAGGATAAAGTATAATGCCTTAAAAAAAAAAGTATAATCTGACCTACATGAAATGAAGCGTTTGCACTGAATGGAAATCCACTTTAGAAATACTACTGAGAATAAACCAGCATTTGATCAGCACGGATGACAGGAAGCATGGCTTATATGATTGAGATGCTATATAACCATGTTTTCACAAGCTCTGAAATGAACTGTTGTTGATATTTGCTTTATTAATTTACTTGAAATGACTCACTGCTTTTTTTATCGATGCAAAAACAAATATTTCATTCTCTTCTGTACAGTTTTACTGGAGATTCTATGAAGTTTAAGGACCAAGCTTTGATTTAACCAGTACAGCATCTTTATTCTCTGCACATATCACTCTGTTTTGTTGTTAGATTAAATGTATGTCATTTTTGACATAGTCTTGTGTACTAGCAGAATCGACATATTATTATGCAGAAGAGCTCAGGTTCAAGGCCACATAATCCCCCATCTACCGCCATATGTTCTTATTGGTATTTGGAGAAAAAGTTAACCTTGGTGAGTTTATTTCTTTTCATTCACAAAACATAATCAGATCTACTTTGTGTACTTTGGCATCTAGAAATATGGTTGTTTAGGAAGATATCGGCATCTAGCCGTCCAACACTGTAGCATTCATGCTGTGATCTCAAGCTAAGCCAGGCTGCCACACATTTTTTTGGACATGGTGATCGAGCTTACAGCAGCACAACTCAGATACCTTACAAGCTGCCTCCTCTACTGCGACTTCTACTTGGATGTCAGATCACCGCGGCAGCTGTGCCTCAGTGGGAAAACGGGGTCTTGCAGTTAGATGATTGTGCGTTTTATTTTAGTCCCTGTGCCATAAACTATAGTAGCTACAACTGATCGGAGGAAAAAACATATCAAGATGAGCTGATTTAATCTGAGTCTGCTTACTCTTGATGTGATCTGAAGCACAACTGTAAGAGAAGTGTGACAGTCATTTCTAAAGGGCGATATCTAGATGTTTTTCATGCTGTTAAATTCAAGCATACCTGTATATGTTGGCATTACATTTCTCTGAGGTTAATTCAAAAATAAGCAATTTTCAGAGACATGCCACATATTTGAAGGATGCATGATGCTTATATGATGTTTGTTTTGGGATGAAGGGTGTAAAATATAGTAGATTGACAGGAGAAAGGGCTGTTATTTAATCGCCCTGCGCCCAAACCTTAATGATAAATACTGAAAATTAGTTTTAATCATAATCCATGGCAATGTGTCCTAGTTTTGCTTCATTTTTTAATTAACCAACATATAAAACACCCTTGAAGCCTTTTTTAGTTATTAAGTATTCATGTCTAACATTATATATAAAGAACAACATGAAACATCAAAACAATAGAACCCACCTCTCCAGGAACAGCAGTGCAGCAGGAGTAAGGCACAGCGCAGCGCTCTGAGCTGGGATTATCATGTGTGCAGTTAAAGTACAGGTTCCACGACCAGTCTGTGTAGTTGTTCCATCCACAGCACTTAAACTAGAGACGCCAAAACAAAGGGGTATATTTAAAAATATGGTCCAGTTTCATTTCTTACAGTGCAGCCTGCCAATAGGAAAAACCCAGGCTCCCAAATGGTGCCAGGATGTGCAGATGGAGCAGGAATACCCCATAAGGAATCCCATGGAGCTGCAGGATATGCATTATTTATTTTCTCATGTGGAAAATCCTCCATAGGGCCAAATATAAATATAAACAGAGCACAGATCTCTGCTCACAACCATCAGTGTAGTGAAGGAAAATTCTGTCCAAGAGGAATCAACCAGAGCACCTCTTTCTGGATGTAATCCATCAGATTCTGCAGATCCAGGTCATCCCTGTAGTGCACAATGGCTTTCTTCACAAACTTTCCGAATGCATCCTGGGTCTAAAGCAGGAAAAAAACAGAGATTTATGAATAAAATGGGAGCTTGATTTTGCAACAAAGAAATTAAGACTTTTAAACTGTGAAACTTCACAAGATTCCAGCCTCTGTTAATTACTGCAGGGGTATTAACAGCACATTGCAACACATCTTTCTGCAGATGCTGGGAAATCCCACCAGAGCCTATGATTGATAATTGCTGGAATCATTTCAAGCCTCAGTCAGTGCTGCCTCCAAAATAGCTGCCAGCCAGGTACTTCTGGGTAATTTGGTGGCTTTCCATGTTTTTTTAGTAGCTTTAATGAACAGTTTGGCTTATTTACATCTGCTTTAATTCTACAGCAAAGCCTCATGTTGCATAATATTCCCATCTGAAGGCTGTGACAAAATGTACATTGTAAATTTAGCTATGGACCTGTTATGGCAGGCAAGCACTGTACAAAGATTAATGAAAACATATTGCCTAACAGTTTGCAATTAGTTGGATCTAAAAGAAAAAGAAACATAAAAGCTCCTTATAGTTGGAATATAAACCAGTATCTGGATCTACTGGAACATTTTATCACTCCACAGCTTAAAACTTTAATGTATTTTGTTGGGATTATCATATGATGCACTGAGACAAACTAGGTTGAAGGAAAGTGAAACGTTGTTCCATTGCAAGGTTTGTTTTCACACGTCATTTATTAATTCAGGCTCCTTAAACCATAGTTTGCTGAGCCACCTTAAACTACAGATCTTAACCCTTTACTAGTTTTCTACATCTAGAATAAGGAGTCTTTGTCCTGACTGAGAGCTTACTCTTCAGGAGATGCAGCTTTCACTTCCTACCCTCCTCAGTTGGGAACAAAATCCCTGAAAACATAATTTATGCAGAAACTGTGGGATCTTTGTAAAGAATGACTAAAAGCATTGTTGTTAACTGTAGCTTTTGATCAAACCATGTGACCAGGGAAATTTTGATGAAGGTTTAATGTCTAAAATGTACGGTAAGTAAAAATGTAAGTAATGCCATTCAAACATGTTTGTTTTTTTGTTTTGTTTTTTACAAATTGCTCTTCCTGCTTAAGAATGATGCTTTATACATTTATTTTTATATTGAGCTATATCTATTTTCTCTGTAGCTCTGACCAGTTATCTTGTTTCAGTAAATCAAACATTTCCAAAGCATGATGATACCACCCTCCTGTTCAACCATGGATAATGCATAAAGACGCTATTTTTTGACACACAGCATTATGCATAGATTATAAAGCTTTTCAGCTTTGGTCTCAGATGAACAGAAAGAAATGTCCTCCAATTTTATTTTTTTTATACATAAACATATGTAAACACAATGAGCAGTTTTCTTTCCACTTCTTATTCATGTGTGCTTGATGTTGGCCAATCATAAAAACCAAAACATGTTTTGTTTGTATTTTGTTGTGAGGAGATAAAATCGAGAAAATGTCAGAGGTGTGTAGACTTCTGAGAAGCACCCTCCTTTGTGTTGCTTGCATATCGTGCAGCATCAGTCTGTGCACAGTGAGTCGCTTTTAAAGGAAAATAAGATGATGCATGTATGAAAGGAGCACCATCGCTCTCCTCTGTGTACCTTCTGGATCAGATGCGTCTGCAGAATCAGCAGAAGTGCAGAATACATAATGTCAACAGCAAAATTATTCATGTCTTTGACATCAATATAAGATGTAGACAAAATACAAATCAGCCGAGGATTTAGGAAGATTCACCAGCAGCAGATAAGTATAAACCTGCCCATTAGTTATTATAATGTAATTTCTTTATCAGCTCCTTGGAAGTGATGCAAATAGGAACACGCACTGAAAAAAATATATCAACAATAATCTGTTATAACTGAATAAAGCTGCTTTATAACATTTTAGCCTGTTATTCTAATTAAGTCTATCAAAGTATTTTTTTTCTCTTTTTAAATAATCTATTTCTTCCACATAAGAGGCTTAAATTGAAGGCAGCTGGACTTTAGCTCAGTTCTTCTAGTGTTAGCCGGCAGAAAGGATGAAGAAACCTGGATACAGCAGGTGTAGAAAGGTTTTCAGAAAAAAAAAATTAGCTAAAGTCTGTTTGCCTCTGATTTAAGTCATTTTTTTAGTTATCAGGACCAGATGACTGGGATTTAGCACAGGCTAGTTCCCTATTTTACTTTTGTGATAGTAAGAAGACTCATAGTTACAGAATTCAGATATAATTAATCCTAATGGGGGAGGGGGTTCATAAATGTTTCATAGACTGTTTCGATTACAGACTGTTTATATTGATAAATACTGTTATCCTAAAATAATTTTACTGAACTACACCCCCACCCCTGTTGGATCCCTCTGCCCCTATGTTTCCATGCTTTGCTTTTGGGCTTTGAAGCCCACCGCCGCACTGTGTCATTAGCGGGAAAAGTTTCCTTTAAGTGATCTCCTGAAATGGAACATTTGGTTCCACTTTGAAGTGCCGAAGCATCTGAATCATTTAGCGAGGAAGGATGCTGGGAGGGTTGTTAAACTGCTCTGTTTAGCAGCAGGCAGTCCGAGGCTTGACAGAGAACACAAGGGAGAGGAGAGGCATTATCAAACACCAGGAACATCACCACGATGCACTGATGTAAGGGAACATTGCCCCTGCTGGCTGTTGTATTTTTATTCCTAGTGGACCTTTAATGGGGAAGCTACTGAACAGGATAAGTGGATGTGAGAGCTGCTCTTAGCTAGAAACATGGTTACAGAATAAACTTGAGCAATAGATAAAAGTCGGTACTCTACAAATTAAACAAATAATTGTACTACATAACGTCAATGCAAACTATAAAAGGAAGCTCTAAATTCTCAAGGAAAGAAATACAAAAGCTTTAAGAAAGGTTTATATGCCCCTCTCTAATGTTTTTGTGAATAAAAAAAAAAATTAATTTCCTATCATCTTTAACAAATTAATTATATATATATATATATATATATATATATATATATATATATATATAAAAAAAAGAAAAAAGACATTTCATCTTTAACCAGAAACAAAGTGCAGAGCTCCCGGGATGCTTTTACAGCTCTCTCTCTCTGCAGCATTTTCCTGACACCACAGAAAAAAAGTTCTGCCCAGAACTTGCAGCAAAAATTCCCAAACCAGGGCTGCAAGAACAGCAGGGGGTGATTCTGTTCTTGCAGCCCTTTTAGAAAAAAACAAGTGTCTCTGTTCTTACATAGAGTGGGCTGACCTTAACACCACAGAAGCACCTTCTAATTTAGTTTCACTGTCCAGTCTTCCTTAGTAGGAGTCTATCAGCACTTGGCCTTGGCTAAAAAATTTAATAAATTCTAAACTGGTATTCGGAACTTCTCACAGCTTGATCCACAACAAAAAAATCCATGTCACTAGTTTGACAAGAAAACCTTGTAAAACTGAAATATATTTCATGTTCATTAGATCTGATGGTAGGTATAGTATTTTTATATATATATATATATATATATATATATATAGTATAATGTCTTTGCTTTCTTGCACTCTTGGTGCCTAAACTTCAGGAATTATGATACAGATAATTATGTCAGTCAAATCGTTTCACCAGTGGCAAGTTGGTTCTGGGGGATAAATTGGTCTTGATAAATATGATATTTTACAGGGAATACTTTTCAAAAACCTGAAACTTCAAATATTTTCAAGTATGGGTTGGAAAAATATAAAAATAATTTAATAAATTCAAATGTGAAGTACAGGAACAGAAATTAGAGATATGAATATGAACTAATCAACTGTGCAGATTGGCTGCTAAGAAAATCTGACTGACCACTTTGCTTCACTCTTCTTAACAAGTTTATATTCCAGCAAATTTTCACTTCTTTTCCGTATCAATCAGCATAAAAAACTTTTATACCTTGATGTAATGCATGTTTTTGTTTAAGACAATGCTACAAAATTTTGAGTGCCAGTGGGCTCTGATGCATATCTGGTTAAGTTAAAAACCATTGATGTGAGCCAATAATAAGTGTTCTGAGAGACTTTTTATTGGTAATTTGAGACTAAATTACTCTGCAGTTTAAACATGACACAATGCAGAGCTCTATTTCTATAAGGCACTGGTTATTTAGCTGAATGAGGACCCATATTTGGCATTCCACTTTGCAATACTGAAAGACAGTGATGGGTACAAAAACTTCAAGGCTCCCTGTTAAAGAATGTGGAATAAACCCATTGCAGGAAAATGCCTGAAAGTTGCTAATCTTCACTAGAATTCTTACAGGAACTGGATGTTTCAGTCAGATAAGACTTAAATTGGGTTAATGTTCCCTATCAAAGGCCTCTGGAAACCTGTCAGAGGAAATGCTGCTATAACCTATTTTGCCATACAAGAAAACCTGGTGACTCTTTCTGCACAATATGGCCAAACTGACACAGCAACACTGTCATGCATCTTCCATGGTCATCTCAGAAAATTATACCACAGACAAATTTTGGCTGAACTAAGAAGAGGATCAGAGAAGATCAGACCTGTTTAAACGCATTGTGCAAATATTCTTCCTCTGAAATGCTCCAAACTTGTGAAAAATTACAGATCATTTAGAGACTTTTGGCTTCTCCTAAGGTTCCCAATAAATACAAATGCTTAAAATAAAGGTCTGCAGTGTTCAAAGTTTTTGGAGCTTTTTATGCAGTGCAACAACAACTCGATGTATTTATAGACTTTTCTCCACCTCTTTACCAGGAGAGCTAACACATATAGCCACTACTGCAAGTGCTTGTGGTTGATCCAAGAATCATAAATGATGCATCTGTTAAGGCCCTAAAAGTGCCCCCTGATTACTGCAGAGCTGAAAACAAGCAGAGAGCATTCTTAGAAAGGTTGGCAGATACCTGATCAGAGTAGAAAAAGCCCAGAATCGCTATAACCAGTTGGATAAGAAAGACCAGTACCAGGCTGAAGGAAAACTAGAAAGGAATAGAAAGACAGGAATGTTTAATTCACATTGACACTTTTGCTGTTAAGCATTTGATGTGAAACACAATTTTAGATTTAGTGTCATTTTAGCTGCCAAACTTGAAGCAAAACACAGTGTCAATATTAGTGATGTGTCTTTTTGGAGAATTACTGTCTTGAGGAGGCGAATGTTCTCTCTGAGGGCTCCAATGCAACCACAGAAAGTGATGAAGAACATCACCACCCCCACAACAATTAGGATGACAGCTGGGTCGACCAGGAACGTGTCCCGCACCGTGTCTGGTAGAGAGAGAGGAAAACAGCCTGCGTTCAAAAAGCTGCAATCGTCTGAACTTCCTGCTCTACTTTTCTACCCTCATTTTTAATCTCTCTTTGACTCAATTATTTGAAATTTAGTAGTTTTCTATTTTTGCATTGTCCCTTCCCACACTAGCTGCTGCGACAGTCTGGAAGCTTCAATGATGATTTCAAATTGGAGGATTATGCAGATGCAGAGGTTTGATCGCTGGGATTAGTCACAAGTTAATCCTTTTTGTTGTCCATGAACTATATACATCCTAAATTAAATGTGAGAATTAGGGATGAAGCTGAAGCCCGACCCTCTCTGTTTCACACACCAGCATGAGATCAATGCTGCAGATCTTTGTTGATTTTTACTGGGATCCAATAGGCCTGACAGAACAATGATGTTGGTCTGAATGCTATTGTTTTTACATTAAAAACTGTATTTTGAACTGTGTGTGAAAAGTGTGTTTACACATACCTGTGGCTTTCTGGACTTTAGCATAAACCCCGATTCCAACAATCAGCAAAGAGAAAACCTGAAATAAAAAAAAATAAACGTATTTATTACCAGATTCAGTCTTAGAGAAGCTCAGAGAATATTACCTGCTCTGATGTTTGCTCTTACTGTGTACTTATTGTCTTGTTCAAATATTCAGCATTTTTATTTCTTTTTTTTAATGCACATTTAAACATCAATATGTTTTTTT